CACATTTGAACTCAGGTCCTCCTGACTCCAGGGCTGGTGCGCTATCCACTGCGCCACCTAGTAGCCTCCATGCATTTTTGCTTTATGCACTTAAAAACATTATTCTGAGAAGAGTTTTATAGGTTTTACCAGATTGCCAAGGGGATCCATAGCATACTGGGAAAAAAAAAAAGTTAAGAACTTATGGTCTGGTAGAAAGAGGCCAGAACTAGAAGTCTGGATTTAGGCCTGGTATCACCACTAATTATCTGTTCAGCCATAGGCAAATCATTTTGCATCTATCTTAAGCTTGATTTTACAGGTAAGGAAACTGAAGTCTAGTGGGTAAGGGACTTGCACAAGGTTACAAAGCTAGTCAATAAACATTTGTTAAGGGCCTACTTTGTGCCAGGCACTCTGCTAAACTCTGGGCATATGAAAAGAGGTAAACAGTTCCTGACCTCAGGGAGCACACAATCTAATGGGATAGATAACAAGCAAACAAGTATGTACAAACAAGATGTATACAAGATCAATAAGAAATAATTAAGAGACCTAAAGCTCTTAGACTGGAATTAAGAAAACCCTGAATAGGGTCACAAAGAGTCAGACATGACTCAACAACAATAACAACAACAGGGCACCAGAATTAAGAAAGTTGAGAAAGACTTCCTGCAGAAGAAGGGATTTTAGTTGGGACTTAACAGATGCCAGGGAGTTGAGCAGGCAGAGATGAGAAGGGAAAGCATTCTGGGTATGAGAGACAGCCAGAGAAAATGCCCAGAGTTGAAAGATGGAACATCTTGCTCACAGTTCATCAAAGAGGCCGACATCACTAGACTGAAGAGAATGTGTTGGGGAATAATGTGTAAGAAGACTGAAAAGGTAGAAGGGGGCTAGGTTATAAAGGGCTTTGAATGCCAAACAGTGCATTTTGTATTTGATCCTGAAGGCAATAAGGAGCCACTTGAGTTTATTGATTGATTGATTGATTGATTTTTATATGAGGCAATTGGGGTTAAGAGTCACACAACTAGTAATTGTTATATGTCTGAGGCCAGATTTGAACTCAGGTCCTCCTGACTCCAGGGCCGGTGCTCTATCCACTGTGCCACCTAGCTGCCCCAACTTGAGTTCAATGAGAAGAGGGGTGACATGATTGAACCTATACTTTCGGAAAATCACTTTAGTGGCTGAATGGATAGATTGGAATGGGGAAAGACTTGAGGTTCGCAGACTGACCAGCAGGCTATTGTAATAGTCTAAGCATGAGGTGATGAGGGCCTGCACCAGCGTCGGGGCAGTGCTGTGCAGAGAAGAGGGCATATCGAACAGACGGACCTCGGCAACAGATTGGATATGGGGTGGGAGAGGTCGTGAGAAGTTGAGGCTGGCTCCTAGATTGTAAACCTGAGGGATCTGGAAGATGGCGTTGCTTTCTACAGTTATAGAGAGGGTAGAAAGGGTCGGGGAGAGTTTAAGGGGAAAGGTAATGAGTTCTACTTTGGACATATTAAGTTTAAGCTGTCTTCCAGAATCCAGTCGAGATGTCTGAAAAGGCAATTGGAGATCAGAGACTGGAGGCAGGCAGAGAAATTGGGGCAGGACAGGTAGATTTGAGAATCACTAATCAAATCCATGGGAGTTGCTCTCCCTCCTCATCTCTGCCTACTGAGCTCCCTGGCTTCTTTTAAGTCTAGAAAGGAGATTATGCATTTTAAAACATTATTCGGAGAAGAGTTTTATAGGTTTTACCACACTGCCAAGGGGGTCCATGACATACTCAAAAAAAGGAAAAAGTTAAGAACTCACAGTAGAGTAGAAAGAGGCCAGGACTGAAAGTCTGGAATTTAGTCCTGGTATCACCACTAATTATTGGTCATTTTGCATCTGTCTCAAGCTTGATTTCATGAGGAAACAAGTCTAGGGGGTATTCTCGAATTACGTCTTCTGCAGGAAGTCTTTCTCAACTTTCTTAATTCTGGTGCCTTGTTGTTGTTTGTTGCTGTTGAGTCACGTCTGACTCCTTGTGACCCTATTTAGGGTTTTCTTGACAGAGATACTGAAGTGGTTTGCCATTTCCTTCTTCAGCTCTTTTTATAGACGAGGAAATTGAGGCAAATGGGGTTAAGTGATTTGCCTAGGGTCACAGAGTTAGTCAGCATCTGTGTCTAGATTTGAACTCAGGAAGATGAACTCCAGAGCTGGCACTCTATCCATGTAGCTGTCTTACTCTCTGGATTATTATTATTCATCTTGTTTATAGCTTGTTTTTATACATTTATTTGCTTGTTATCTGTCCCATTAGCTTGTGAGCTCCCTGAGGGCATGGACTGTTTGCCTCTTTTTATATCCCTGGAGTTTAGCAGAGTGCCTGGCACAAAGTAGGCCTTCAATACATGTTTATTGACTAGCTTTTACCTTGGGCAAGTCCCTTACCCCCTAGACTTGTTTCCTCATGAAATCAAGCTTGAGACAGATGCAAAATGACCGATAATTAGTGGTGACACCAGGACTAAATTCCAGACTTTCAGTCCTGGCCTCTTTCTACTCTACTGTGAGTTCTTAACTTTTTCCTTTTTTTGAGTATGTCATGGACCCCCTTGGCAGTGTGGTAAAACCTATAAAACTCTTCTCAGAACAATGTTTTAAAATGCATAATCTCCTTTCTAGGAGGCAGGGTTTTGGACACATTATTATTATTATTATTATTAGTCTGGATTTGTGAGTTCATTGTTTTGGGGAGCTCCTGGTAAGGAAAATGCATGGAACAGGGTTCGACTCTCCTGCAGCTTGTATCCTTAGAGTTGCCCGGCACAAAGTAGGTGCTTAAAAATGTTTATTGAATTAATTCCAAGTCCTGTGGCCCATCTCCCAGTCTTAACACTATTCTTTGAGGAGAGAGGGAGAATGGATTCATGGAGTGAATTGCTAAGCAATATGGAAATCAATCCTTATAGACTCTTTTCCTGTCTTGGGAAAAATGTGAAGTGTCAGTGGTTTCACATTCAATAGAGTGGATGTCTGTTGTTGCTGCTTTAAGGTAAGTAGCTCCCTACTTGATTTTTACAAACTGATGTAAAATCAACATATATTCTTACTTGGAGAACAGTGTTATGAGTAGGAGAAAGGGAGATGAGGAGAATAACGAGGTCCTAGAGAATGACTGACATTCTATCTATGGAGCCTAGGGCAGCAAGGGATAGCTTTAAAAATCTCTAAAAGGTTCAAAGTGTGATAATCCAGCAGGTCATGGACCTGAAGGGAGATCTGAGGCAAAGCAGAGGACAGAAAAGGTCTTACTTGATGATGACTAGTGTGGCAGCTGGGTGTCAAAGAGATAGAACACAGGACTTGGAATCAATTCAATAAACATTTTTAAGCACCTAGTATGTGCCAGGCACTGTGTTAAGCCTTGGGTTCAAATCCTGCCTCAGACACTTACTAGCTGTTTAACCCTGAGCAAGTCACTTAACTGCTATCTGCCTCAGTTTCCTCATCTGTAAAATGGGGATGATAATAGCACCTACCCCCCAGGGTTGTTATTGAGGATAAAATGGGGATAGTATTTGTAAAGCACTTTGCCAACCTTACAATGCTATATAAATGGCATTCCTGTTGTTGTTGTTATTGTTAATCAATTAAATTGCTTCGAGCTGTGATGAGAGAGAAGCCAGGACAGACGTAATGTAGAGCCAGAATACCAAGGGTATCATCCACAGTGACAGGGTACCAGACAGTGAAGTGAATAGGTGTAGACAGGAAGGAAAGTCCCCAAAACAAAGGAGGTAAAACCAGGCTAGGCAGTTGCAGTTTAGTCAAAGCCAAAGAGAATAGATTAATCAATCAGTAAGCATTGATTAAGTACCTACTCTGTGCTAGGCAACTCTCTAAGGCTATGAGCTGTGGGAGAGTTGAACCCTGTTCCATGTGTTTTCCTTACCAGAAGTTTCCTAAAACAATGAAATCACAAAATCCAGACAATAATAATAATGATAACGGTAATGTGCCTAGCACTGTGCCTCCTAGAAAGGAGATTATAGTCTTAGGTGGGGGTAGGAACCATGGCAGGCATGTGGAAGAAAGGGCATCAAAGGATCTGAGTCCTAGATCAATTTAAACTTGGCAGCATCTAGAAGTGCTGCTGGAATTCCTTGACAACTTTGCCTGTTGGGTTCTTAAAGGGACCCCAGGAAGCTCAATGAGGACTATTCCCACCCCCAACCCTACAGAACCAGGCAGGGATCTTTGGCCCTCATAAAGAAACACATCCCTAAACAAAGCTCAGTTTAAACATTTCAAAAATTTGACAGTGAGGGACTTCTCTTTAAAAGGAGTCATTTCTCCCAGAACTGCTCTGATTAATATCTTAAAATGAAATGGCATGGGGTGGAGGGGCGATTGCTCATTTCTTTCTTAATCCCTTACAGATTGAATCAGATTTCTCTGCACTGTTATCATACACAGCAGCATGACAAACCACAGTGAAGTTTTTTTGGGGGGAGGTGGGGATGCGAGTGGGAGGAACAAACATGAATGGAAAATAAAGAAGTGGGGACCTTCTGACACACTGAAAACATACAGATGATTCACCCAGCTCCTTACCTTTAGATTGGCACGAGATCTGGTTGTTAAGCATTTCTTTTTCATCTTTCAAAAGCGCATTCTCTTGTTCCAGGTCCAATACTCGCTAAAAAAGAATAACACATCCCAGACAACAGAGGAACGCGTTACCTCTTGTAATGCCAGCCAGCTCAAGGTCAGGCTCTTTCTTTACGGGGATTATGTTTCACCTGGTTACTTTGAATGTTCTCTTTTTTCTTTCTTTTTTTAAACAAACCTCCTTCCCCCTTGATTTCTCCTTCCACTTACATTAGGAGAAAAAAAACTCCCAAACTTTCATAAACCAGACCTGGGAAAGTGATATGTCTTTCACGATTTTCTATTGTTAAAAAATGTCATGTAAAATATCACTATAAAAGGCTGGGCTGAGCTAATTCCCCTGCTTTCAGTGTATATGAAAAGATAGGGTATCTCTTGGAACTGCACTAGGGAAAAATGGGTAGCTTGCTACTAGATGCTGGTAGAAAGAATATCTATATCTATATATATATTTATATATTTCACTATTCAGTATCAGGAGCCATATCAAAGGAGTAAATGTATTAGAATGGCAAAGGAGGACACAAAGTGTTTTTAAAATGGTGGAGGGAGTGTCTAAGGATAAAAGGGAAGAAATTAAGAAAGATATAATAGAGGTTAAATATTGATACATGTGTTTGCTGGTAAGAATCCATTATAACACTCCAGAGAAGTTTCACTATAGAAATACAAGAGGTTAAGAACAAGAAGTTAAGAGCCTTCTCTAACATGAAATGAGTTGGAAACTGATGGAGGCCTCTCATCTATGGATTCCACTGGGTGCTCTCATTGATATCTCTCCACATCACCATCATTGCTGCCTATGGATTCATGCTGCAGGTAATTATAAAATGCTTTACCAAAATAATTCCGCAACACTCAGCATGGCCCTATGGTGGGTAATGAAAGAGCCAACAGATGGGGAAACTGACGCAGAGAAACCAAGTGACTTATGCATGTAGAATCAGATTGACAAATGAGTCACCTTCACCTTCCCAGTTGCTAGGTCCTTACCATAAGAAATCACTATGTTGCTAAACTGTAGCTTTGTCACTTTCCTTCCTCTATTTTTGAAAGTGAATTTTTATCCTTATTTACCTTTTAATGGGGACTAGACCAACATGTGTGGCACTGCTTAAAGTCAATCAATAATTATTTTTCATACACCTATTGTGTGGGGGGCACTTTATGGAGGACGTAAAGATGAAGGAGGCATACTTTTTGGTTTCAAGATGCTTATGATGTGGCAGACATGAGAGAATAGTGCTAATCTGAAGGAAGGACCAGAGAGCCACATCTTATTTCATGTATTTTAATCCTTATTGGTCCCATTCCACTTCAGTCTACAATCCTTTATTTCAATTTAGCCCTAGGATTGACCTGGACAAAAACAGCACACTGTCTACATAAATAGAAAAATCTGAACCACTATCTTGGTTGCTACCACTGAGTCTCATGTTTGGTAATGCAGGCATCTTTTGCTTTATAGAATCTATGTGTTCCAAAAAGCTTGTCTGGAAAGTGAAATTCTACAAGCCAAAGCCCACCTAAAGGCTGTGAATGTATCAGTAATATCAAGGCAAGGTGCCATAGTGGGGAGAATCAGAAGACATGGGATCTACCCTTGGTGGAATTCATCATTTCTATGCAGCAAAGGATACCTGTATTACCTAATTTCAGAATCAACAGTAATATCCAAGGTCATTTTTCCATTGCATATCGATTGTTGCTTGGTTGGTTGGTTGTTGTCCTTTGTTCTCAAAGAGGATCAAAATGACATCACCATGTTGGGGTCAAGGTATAGTGTGTCTGATTGTGGCTGATTAGACCAGTAGGAGCTTGGCATGCTCTACCACACATCAGGCACTAACAGTCCATGTGAACAGGTAGAGTGGAGATGTCTCTAAATTTGCACATCTCATATAGTATATTATATAAGTATATTATTCATGTATATATGTGTATTATATAGCATATAGTATATTATGCTAAGCTATTCTATACCTAGTGTGTGTATACACACGTACACACATATATCACATTCATACGTGTAAACATGTAGATTTAGAAATTGAGGTTCATAGAGTTTGATTGATTTGTCCATAGCCACACAGCTAGTAACCATGGGAGCTGAGACTGGAACACAGATCCCCATTACATCATGCTGTCTCTTAACAATGAGACTTTAGGTATATTTATATAGTACTTTAAGTAGAATTTGGTTTCCAGAAATTTTACTTTACAGACAACTTTGTCAGAATTCATAGTCATATAAAGCAAAGGAGCC